ATGATATGATTTTATGGATTTTGTTTTGTTTCGATGTTATGTTGTGAATGATTAAGATAACGTTGTATGAATATTTTAATTGTGTGACATGATATGCGTGATGATAATGATGGCATGTATTGGCGTAGCATTGATAAGTAAAAGTAATCAACATAAAATTGTGTTGTTGCATATCAGTGTTGCATGCATTCTTTAAAGATGGTTTGTATTGGCGAAAGATGGCATGTATTAGCGAAAGATGGCCTGTATTGGCGTTGTTATCCCAAGTTGGAATTTATTAAGTTAATGGTTTTGCCCTATTGGTACCACATGCATTGAGTCAGTATCAGTTTCATTGTATTGCATGATTGTTAGTGATTTATTATTTAAGTGTTAAATGAATTTATACTTTTCTTATGATGGATGTTTTGTGCTATTTATGCACTTAATGATATTGATGTGTTTCGTAGTATGATAAACAAGAAAAGGTGTGAGGTAAAGATATATCATAATGTGTAATTGAATTTCTACCTGCTCATTATTGTGCTTCCTATTATATTGTTATGATATCTCTCTCTTTCTGTTTGAATGTTTCCTCTACGTGAGTAATGTGCAGATGATCTAAAGTAGCTCGAGGTCGAGGTCAGCTGAAGAGTTCCTTCAGATTTACGTAGATTGAGTCGGTGTCTGCTCCGATACGTAACACTTGGGGGTTGCGCGTTTGTTTCATTAGAAGTGAACTTTGCAATACTCCATTGTTTGAGTTTAATTTATGACTATGCTGAATTTTGAAAGATGATAATTATGACTGCGGTTGGAGAATTGAGATGATTTTTATTGATGTTTTTCCGCTGCGAATAAATGAAAGGAAGTTTAAGACTTTTGAACATGTAAATTGTGTTGCGTATCTTAATCAATGAGTATTTATGATGTATAAAGCATGTGACATCCTATTTTGATGTTGTATTTTATAAATTAATTTACTCTGATTTTTATATAATTTATTGACGGGGAAATAGGGTATTGCATCTTTCATCAAAATTCCAAATAAGGTTTGGAAGAATATTGTTAAACTTCAGAGGAGTTTCATGTGGGGTGGAGTTATTAGTAATGATAACATTCCTTGGACTATTAAGTAGATGTGTATAAACCCAAAAATAATGACGAGCTTGGAGTTTGTGACCTTCGCTTAGTAAAACTAGCTCTTCTAAGAAAAAAGAGGTGGTGTTTGATTTTTGAGTCAACTGGTCTTTGAAGAGATAGCTTAACTGGTACATATAGGATTCAGGCTATCACCTCCTTCATAGGAGGTAGGGTGTCCAAACTCCAATTTGCTTTTCCTTGGTGGAGAAAAGTCTCCCTTCTAGATTCTAAATACATTGAATCCTCGATTTGGTTTGTGGACGAATCTCTAAGCAAAAAATGAGTAATGTGGGTGGTATTGATGTTTGGGAAGAATGGCTTGTGGTAAAGAATTTTCTCTAGAGAAGAACCCTCTTTGACTATGAACAAGATATGTGGAAGTCTTTATCATGACAATTCAAAGTGTTACTTTCTCGTTGGAGAGAGATCGTTTGTGCTGGTTGTCAAAACAAAATAATATTTACACTATTGCCTCTGCCTAGGACAATCTTTTTAAGTCTCATGCTTATAATTCTAATGTTCCTACTAGTGTCGGATGTTTGTTAGGCTCCATTTGAAATAGTCGTGTCTCTAAAAAATGATGGTCTTTTCTTCACAACTTCTCTAGGATAAGATCCCGACGAGAAAGAACCTGCACAGTATGTGAGTCATTTTAGATCATTCTCGTCTTTCGCGTGGGTTATGTGTTGAGTTTATAGAGTCAATTTATCACTTGTTTGTCACTTATTCTATCTTTGCATCTCTATGGTATAAGATTTTTCGATAGTTGGGAATGATGGTTTTCTTATCAGGGGATATCCTATATTTTCTTGAGACATTATCCTTCTTAGGGGATTCGACTAGAATTATGAGTGGTCTTATCATGATCTGACATTAAGTGTGGTGATTTTTATGGAAAGCCAAAAATAATTTTATCTTTACTAGATCGCTGATAAACGAGGAGGCCTTAAAAGATAAATATATCTAACTTTATTGAAAAATGATTGCTTGATAGGGTAGTCAAAATGTGTTTGTTCTTTCTCTAATTAACTAATAAGCCTTATCATTTGCCTGCACCAATACTTAAGTGTGTCATCCAAGTTACTTGTGGGTGTAGTCCTAAACTGCGCGTGAATGTTTCTACTTTGTTGATGGTGGTATGTTCTTCCTAGGCTCTAATCTGATTATTTTGTTGGTAACTCAGATATTTTTAAGTTTTTTGTTTTATTTTTTCATTCGATTTTTTGTTCTATAATGTGTTTTTTGTACATTTAATTCATTAGCTACTGATATATCTATAATTTTTGTCTCGCTTATCTATATAATTATTTGTCGTTAAAAAATATAAGACAATAATATTTCATTCTATTCCAGGATAATTAAGTTTAATTTGTATTTTATTAATTGAGAATTCAAAGTACTTTTTATTTTAATTGTTTGTCAACTGTTTTTATTAGATAGATTATGAGTTTTTATGTAAAATTTGTATAAGTGGCATAATTCTAAGCGCAATATATTACACCATCACTGAAAAAAAAAAGTAGAGGCGTTGAGTAAGTCATTAATGATATGATTGGATAAGTAAATACTCCTATGTTGAACTCCCAATGGCCAAAGCACAAAACAGAAGAGACCCTTTCCACACAGCAAATATATTGGCTAAGAAGCTACTGCCACTGGCATAGTGTATCTCTTTAGCCACGCTAGTGTAAAGTAGTAGGCTTGTAATTGAGCTCTTGGTGAGGGGATTAAAGTAGTTGAGCTTTTTTTATTCAAATTCTTAAAAATCAATTTCAGTGAACTTAGTCAGTTTGTTTTGTTTTTTTTTTTGTTTTTTAATAATGTAACATAATTTTATATAAAAAAATTTACAAATAATTTTTTCATAAAACTTTAAATAAATATTTGATTTAAATAGTTATTCTTAAAATTTTATTTTAAATATTTTATTATTTTAGTGATTTTTTAAAATATTAAAATTTTCAAAAATTATTTAATTTTAAAGTTATTTTTAATAATTTTTCATAAAAATCATTTTTTAAATATAATATTTTGAAAAAATTATGATTTCGACTATGTATTGATCTTTAATAATATTTATTTATGTTATAGAATGTCAAAATTAGTCTTTCAATTTAAAAAAATAAATACAAAATAACTTATAATATTTTAGAAAATAGTTTTTAAAAAACCTATTTTTAAAAATACAAAAAAAAATATTTTTTATTTTTAAATTAAAACAAACATACCCAAAATAATTTTGACTTTAAACTATACCAATTTAAAAATAAAATAAAAGGACAAATATCAAATATATGGTCACTTAAGATGTATGAGTTTTTTTATCAATTGGATCAACCAGATATATATTGAATATTTATCTATTTATAGTTGAAGATAAGAGATTCATCAATATATGTTGGTTTTTAAATTAAAGTTTGTTTTCGAATCGATAAAAGTGATGTTCTAGGAAAGTCATGTTTCATAATGAAAAAAAATAGAGTTAACCTCAAGTAAAATAAGTCTATTCAATTGTGGACACAGTTTCCTTGCTGAAGTACTTTTACGCGGTTTCAGCTATAATCAATCACGGAAAATTTTACCTCGTATATCTATATTTATCCTCGTACTCTTACATTTTGTAAAAAATATCAACTTTGTTCTTGTATACTATTTTCAACTAAATTATTATTTTATTTTTTAATATATATATTTCTTTTAATTTTTATTATATATATATAAAGACTTTACAAAAATGTTCTGAAAATTAATTTTTCATACGATTTTTACTGTATTTCGAAACAGTTTTTAAAAGTGTTTCAGAAATTATTCGAAACAGTTTTTAAAAGTGTTTCAGAAATTTTATTTATTTATTTTGTATACCGGATGACTTATCAAAAGTATTTCGAAAATTATTTTTTAATTTTAATTATGTATTGGAAAATTTTGCAAAAATGTTCAAAAAATCAATTTTTACATTAATTTTTATTTTACGTATCAGAAGACTTTTCAAAAGTGTTCTGAAAATTATTTTTTACATAATTTTTATTGTGTTTCGGAAGACTTTTAAAAAATGTTCTGGAAATCAATTTTTTACATCATTTTTATTTTATATTTCGAAAGACTTTTCAAAAGTGTTCCAAAAATTATTTTTTTAATTATATTAGTTTTGTATTCCGAAAAACTTTCTAAATAAGTAGACTAAAAATCAATCACGGCCGTAGACTAAAAATCATTAGTATTGAAATGAGATGTTTTGGGTTATGAATATAAATCTGAATCTTGCAGTGTCGTGTGTTCATTGTTTAGGTAACTAAACCAAAAAGAACTAATATATTGTTAGAGTTTGGTCAAATCAATTCAATATTAATCTAAGTCATTTCTGTTTTGTCAGCCAGTTAGAAACGATTTTAAATTGTAAATCAGTTACAAAGAAGTAAAGAACTATTTTGCCCCACAGTTTGGAATTGACGACGAAATGCATACATGAAACAATACTAGTCCACAAAACCATGCCAAATACAAACATTCCCATTTTTCAGGCATTGTTCAAAGTTGTCATGAACTGCATTAAGTGATGTTCTAGTTTGAACTGCAGCATTTGATTACATGAAACAGGACGGTAAAAGCCAAACTATATCCATTCATAAACCATTTATATATTAAGATTTACAACTAAACTTACTTTTTGTTTAAAACCAGTTACATAACCGGTTATAACTCTGATTACGATTACATATCCAATTATTTTAGCTTAAACAGTTTTAAATTGGTTATTCTCTCAAACTTCATTCAAAACCGGCTATTTCTAAATCTGGATTAAAAAACTTATTTCTCGTCCGAAAAATTAGTTATTTCTCTTACAAAATCAGCTTGGAAGACCAAATTTTACGCACAACTCAGATTTTTAACTTAAAGACCAAAATCAGTAGGAACAAGAAACCAACAACACCACTTCCTCCATTAATAATCTCAATATTAGAATAACCAGTAAAAAAACAATTTCTGACACAAATCTCAACATTCCATATAACCACCAGTTCATCTAATGAATTCACATTGAATCCTGAAAACAAGGATTGTTTCCTAATTTAGAACATGTAGTAAGCCTCATGTTCATTCTCAACGAAACTAAATTGAATTGAACCTGTTGCAGGTTGCATATCTGGACCACCACTGAATCTTTTACCATTCCAAGGTATTCCATTCTGGAAGATATATCTCCAATTAAAGGGTCTTGATGTGTTACCTTACATGAATTTATGAATGACTCATGACTTATGAATGAAAGATATATCTCCAATTAAAGGGCCTTGGTGCGTTACCTTCCATGAATTTATGAATGACTATGATAGCAAACAGAAGCATAGCCAATCATACACTTTCGGTTCCACTTTCCATTGAGCCATTAAAAGCCGTCCATTGCTACTCTTCATGCTTTTCACATACTACTTCCAACATTTCTTGAAAGGGTCAAACAATTTTGGTCAACATAGACAATTCTACATGTAGGTACATTGAAATAATTATTATAAGATGGTTAAACAATTTGGGTCAACAGAGACAATACTTGTTATGTTTAGCATAGTTCCGTTTGCAGAGCAATAAAAGGAATTTAAGAATATCATGTATAATATAAATTCCATTCTGCGTGGACAACATTTTAGAATGTCATATTCGGACACAACTGTAACGAGAGCTTCAAGAATTTAATATAGATAGAATTTTGCAATGAAATACATGAGACAAAAGGTGAAAATAAACAAGTCATTAAAAAATCTAACATACAAGAATTAGAAACAATAAAAAAAAGTCAGCATTTTGCTCAAAAAAAGAAAATAGGCCAACTAACAGGTGTTGCGTAAGTCAGTAGGAAAAACAAATTGCCAAACTAAAACTTATTAAAGATTACATTAGTAAAAGCAGCATGTCCAAAACAATACCTGTGCTGTTCTTCATAATTGAGAAGAGTTTGTTCTGTAATCTGTTGCTTGAACCTTCTTGAGTTGAAACCTTTTTCATCTTTTATTACATTTGAAACTTGTAGTGAGCATCAAGATTGTAATACCTACCACGTAAACATTATATCGTGTGTCAACCCAAATAAATATACGAAAAATGGTTCATTCAGTATCTTAAATTCATTTCATCATTAGAAAACAAGGATTTGGTATTGATGAACAAGACACAGATGAGTAAGAGGACAAAAGTATTCCTAGAAGACAAATTAACAGATATGTAGCCATGTTCTTATTTACAGACACAAGCACAAAGAATAAGCCAAACTATTATCACAACCATAATACTTCTATTGTGTACTAAAACCATGGTAGACAGAATCGCGATCCAACTCGTAGGATCGGATGAGTCTGCGATCTTGCAGCACTCTTCCGTGCCGGAATATGGCCGGAATCGGTTTTTAGTGGGCACGGCCAGGATCGCCGCTATTACACGTGGAATCGCTGGAATCGGTGCTTCTGGACGTTTCTGTCAGATCCCCAAGAATTCGGGTTCGCGGGTCGGGTCTGCAACCCGGTTCAGAAGAAACCCAACAAAAAAAAATTCAGTTCTTTTTTTTTCTTCTTAAAAACTACTCCTTCTGTCCCATATTATAAGAGAAATTCACTTTTTAGATTCATTGAATAATTAATATATCTGATCTAATAGACCAGATACATTAATTATTCAATGAATTTAAAAAATAAATTTCTCTTATAATATGGGACGGAGGGAGAGAGTACTTTTGTGTAATAAATACGTATCAGGCTATTAGCAGTAATAATATCTCCTAATATCTCTCTCACGCATTCAATTTGTGCAACTTCCCAAATATAATCCATCATTAGTGTAATTTAATTTCACTCCTATTCACTCAATATTTTTCTCACACCTTAAACTCATTTTAAATACAGATTCCTCTCCCCTAATTCACTCCATCTCTCTCATTACTCTCAATAACTACATCAATTTTCCCTTCTCTCACTTTAATACTCTCATTAATTCTCTCTTTGATTCTCTCAGTTGAGAATTAAAGTGAGTAAGATAAGACTTAAAACATGTTTTTTTTGTTTTAACGCGAGGAGAATAGGAGATCGACTCTTAGAGGTCGTGCTATGAGAGTGACTTGGGTATTATGGGGGTGCCCAAGTCCCACATTGAGTAGTATCCTATGGAATGCTAGGTGGAGTATTTCTGTGGCTTGGTTCATCCCCCTTGATAGCTAGTACAATCAATGATGAAGGAAAATCTTGGATACGGTGCATACGCATACCAACTAACATGTTTTAAGTTGAGATATCAAAATAGTCCCTTTGCAATATAATGTAACAAGCTGAGTGCAGTAACTCATAATCAAAACTAATAAGTCCTATCTTCTCAAGAAATACAAGTCTCTAACAAGTCTTATCTTACTCAGGTTTTGAACATAAACTTTGGATTTAGGAGGAGGGAGAGGGGGAGGGGGAGGGGGAAGGTTAATGGACATGGAAGACCTTTTTCCTACTAAATAACTACAGGAAAAATATTTTTTCTTTTGTTCAAGTAAATTAAAGTAAAGATAATTAGCAAAAAAATTTGAATTAAATCTTCTTTTTTAAAAACTCATCAAGTTAGCTTTGCCATTCCATAAATACTTTCCATGTCCTGATGTTTGCTTCTTGCACACCCTTATATTTAATATTTTTCAACTGTTATCGGGTAGAGCAAGGTATCAACACCATATGCATGCGCATGATTCTACTATGCCAAACATATTTAGCATAAAACTTTAATCTTTAAAAAACAAACTAGCAAAAAATAATTGTAACTTGGAAGCTGAGCATATCTAAGAGCACAAAACCCCACCACAAGCTTAATACCACCAAATTACATTAGTGCCATAGCAAATATGAGAACACAAAATCCATACTGATGCAAGAAAAACCAGAAAGCATAAAGAGAATCATTCATACATTCACAATAATATAGTAAAGCAAGAAAACCAACAAATTAGAGTGTGTGTGAAAAGCCCGGCAGGAAATGACATTCAGGACTTCCTGGAGAGTGAACTTAGACGAGAAAAAGCTTCAGGTGTATGAAAAAGCTTCAGTCAGGAACCGAGCTTCAAGGGAAGGAAGCTTCAAGGAACCAACCAAAAGCATACAAAATCATTCTAATTTCTAGTGCATACCAATCATAAAATACATGAACGAAGAAGTGAGCAACACAAAAATACCTTAATCTTTGACAGAGAATGAGAACATCACGTGAATGAAGGAAATCAAGAGACAGCGCCATCAAAGAGCTTAGCATGAATGAATCTGAGTTGAGAACGAACTCAAATAAATACAATCAGGAGTATTTGAGAATGCATGAATGGAATCACGAGCAATGAGTTGGATTATTAAGGAATTACATCGAGAAATCAAAGAGAATTGGTTTCAAATTAGGGGTTAGGGTTCTTCATCTGTGATTTATGAATCTGAGTTTCGAGTATGAGTCTACGAGAGAAGAGGAGAAACCAGGTATCAAACTGGGTATCAAGAACTGAATTTTTAGCAGAAAACTGAATAGGCCAGTTTTCTTCTTAAATGGTTTGGCATTTGTAAAGTGTTCCAGATTGGTTTTTAATTATGGTTCAAGAGAACTGGGATTTCTGAACATGCCTATCTAAACCTTCCTAGAAGCAATCAACTTGAAAAAATGGCTACTACCATACTCAACGCCATAAAAGCAATATAGAGGCCCACGAGACAGAATCCCCAAAACCTAGGTACTCGGAATCGAGACCAAGTGATTACCAAAAGAGACCCCATGAGGCTTAATAGCAGGAACACAAATGCAATCACTATACCCACATGGAAATTAAGTTCATAGGCTTTAGGATATATATTTGTCGTTTGTATGACCAAAGCAGTTCCAAGACCAACAAGCATGTTAAACATCGGTCCAGCAAAGCATCCTGCCATTGCCATTGCTGGATGACCAGCTTTAGCAACTGCAACATCAGCAACAAGATCCCCCACTGAATTTCCCCATGCTAGCACTGTAAGACCTAGGAATGCCGGTGACAGTTTGAGAAGTGTGCCTAAAGCTTCAAGGCAATTCACCAGCTCTCCAGCTGTGGTAGATATCCAAAACACACTCATAACAAATGCTACAACCACCACAGGCAAATGTTCTGTTTTTGGGGGTTCTTTTTCCAACACAAAATGAAGAAATGCAAGAGAGAAGCTTGTCATGAGCACTACGGTCCAGAGTGGGAAAAGAGTATTAGGGAGGAGGAAAACTATGGGATGATTCAGTGGCATGAATGAGTTGCACGCATACAAGAGGGCTAGTGGACAAAGAGCAATATTGGCTGATGCATAAAATCTGCTCCATTGCGAGGGTGCTGGTTGAGGGATTGTCAATCTTAAAAGAGTCAAGACAGGAAGCTCCCATGCCTTAGAAATCTGTAAGCATAGTATGGGCTACATCAGGACAATCTCAAGTAAAATAAGTTCAATAGTGATATAAAAGAACAGGAAATTTATTCATGTAATGTATAGCATTGCCTGTATTATTTTTTTACACATGAAACACTGACTACTTTTTAAAGGGTTTTAAGAAATATTTTTGAATGAACTAAACAAGGAGTCATCTACAATGAGCGGAAATAAGCAATTATTACCAAATCAAAGGAATGATCATAGTGGTATCAATTACATCAGTGGTCCGCCTAATTGGTTTAACATGTCTTACACGTATCGAATAAAAAACATCGGGGGAAAAAGTTACCAGTTTACTCGATTCAATGTCTACCAACAAAAGGATCAACTGGCCAACCTTCCCCACATTTTGTGGGTATTAAAAGAAAAAGGATTAACATGTTAATGGATTTAAATAACCACACATAAGCTTAGATTGTGTATTGTTTCTTTCCAAAATCAAATTCTCTACACATTTTCCTGTCCAAAAATTGAGAAACATATAACATTATAAAAACTCATCATGCAAAAAAATAAGTCACTACTAAATCTTATAACTACTAAATGTTTCAGCACCAAATATAATATTAACTGAGCTCCCAGTTTACTGCATCAAAGATGAAAAGGAAAAATGCAAACAAAAAAACAATTTCTCCAAAACCAATCTTTCAAATTTAATTTAATTTTTTTTTGAAGGTTTACATCAAATGAATAGCTCCAAGTGCTCTGTTTCAAGGTTAAATCTGGATAACCAGCTGCTGCATCAGATTCAGACCAGCATCAGTCTTTTGCTATTATTTTAAATATAAAAAATTACAAAATGTTTTTATATTATTGAAGGAAGCTTTTTACTTATGTTTTGTACATCCTATGAGTAACCAATTTTAGCAAGTGCAAGCAAGTTAACTAATAAGTACTATGTCCCGTTAAGTCAGCTCAGTTGGTAGCTGTGCAGGGACATCAAGTGCAGGGTCGCGGGTTTGAACCCGCGGCATCCCACCTGTTAAGGTGGGGCTACATGACCAAAAAAATATTTAACAAACCTGATTGCAAATTAAATTGGTTTTTTCAAACCAAATTTGAAGTCAAGTGGTTTATATTTATATACCTTTAAACTAACACAAAAGCTGATCTAAAACATAGTGCAAACTTTTCAAACTAACACAAAACAACTTTTAATTGATTGGAGTCAAACCAGTGTTTGAACTTGAAGGGTAAGTAATCAAACAACTGTAAACTAACACAAATTTGAAGGGTAAGTAATCAAATTTGAAGTCAAGTGGTTTATATTTAGATACCTTTAAACTAACACAAAAGCTGATCTAAAACATAGTGCAAACTTTTCAAACTAACACAAGACAACTTTTAATTGATTGGAGTCAAACCAGTGTTTGAACTTGAAGGGTAAGTAATCAAACAACTGTATTTTAGCAAAAATTCCAGTGGACAGACTATCTCAATTCTGATGGTTTTCAGAACAAAACCAAACTAACTCAGACACATACACTTGTATCATATGTTTGAAAGAGAGAAAAATCAATTTCAACATTCAACACAGTAAATCCAAACAAACCAACAAAGACAAAGAAAACTGAACTAAATCATGATTATATATTCAAATCATAAACTATTCTAGCCAAAATAGCATAATCAAATACCAGTAACTATGAAATCACACATTCATGAAAAGCCAATCATCACAAGCTAAATTGAAATTTTGAAACATACCCAACGAAAAGATCCTCTTAATCCAGAAGCGTGTTTCTCCTTTTCTTTTTCTCCAGATCCCGGTGATTTTTCATCGTAATACGATTCAACCTGTCCCTCGAGATCCACCGAACTCTTTACCCTCCGATTCGCAATCCCTAAATCCATATAAAACACAAAACCAACAAAGAAAAGATAGAACGCAACGAATCCAACCGCTTGCCAAAGAAAAATCTCCGCACTAAGATAAACGTAAAACAGAAACATAGCAGCGGTTAAGTAAAACAAAACATCTCTAACAAACGGCGCCGGATCAACCGAAAACGGCGCCGCATAGATCGCGACGAAACCTACTACGAGCGCCGATACAAAAGCACCGGCGGAGAGAATCGCGCCGAAGCCGGTACGATACTGACCGGCGCGAAGAGCGGCG